CAATGGGCAATTTCCCCACCAACCCCCTGCCTCAGTTGGTTGACTTGACATTAGTTAACTTATTAGTTGTAATTTTTATAGTATTTATATTTGCAATCTGCTATACATGGGGCTGCTTTGGAAGACCATCCAGAAGTTAGATCTGATTCAGAATGTGGCAGTGCTAGTAGTAAAATAGGCTCTACTTGTGCCCATGTGTCGCTGCTGCTATTCAAGTTCCATTGGCTATCAGTTGGCTTTAAGGTGGTAGTTAATCTTTATAACTCTTCTATATGTGGGCAAAGTGGGTGTGCATCAGGTCTCTCCTATTAAATGTTATCATCTTAGGACTTAGGAAGTGTGCTATTCCACCCTATGGAACAGCATCTCTCCAGAAATTCTGATGGTGCCCATTCTTCTGGGATTCTGAAAAGCACTTACAACTTGGTTTTGTTCCTTAGTGTAAAGTAAATATGTTGGGAGAGGGAGGGTTGCCTCATGCTTTATAGTATCAATTTTAGACTGTTTCTAATTTTAACTTTGCATTAGATTTTGTAAACCACTCAGAATCTGTTGGTGTAGGTTCAATTAAATATAGTGGAATATAATATATACCTACCTTGTATAAAATAGTTTACTCGAATGAACTACTTTTTATTACTAATCATGTAACTACTATTCAATGTTGGCAATTTAGCTGCTTAACAATCAAGTAGATGAATTACTTTGGAATACTTAACATGGCATATGTTTCTTTATACAATTTATCAATTGCTTCAATTCCAATGGACTCTAGGTGGTTTATAGATATTAATCATACATAACAGTCATAAATACAGCAAATTACATTTGATCATTAAAATTGAGTGAGAGCTTCTTCATACTTAAAATATGAACTTCCACAATTGCTCATCACAGTTATTTATTTAAATAATGTATTAATCACTTATATACCGTATTTATACTTTGTTTTTTTACTTTGCATTTATTTATTTATAGATTATTATATGAGTATTGTGAACTGCACTGCCAATCCTTGTTTTTTTTCTTTTTAATGAAAATGTTGGTGTTCCTTTTTTGGCAAACCTAGATTATAATTAACTACTAGACTCTTGTTAAATATTTATGCAAGTTCATTTAGGATTAAGAAGCCTCACTAAATTTAATGGAAATTATTTCAGTTTCAACTTCATCAATTACTATATTCTAAATGGGTATTTTCTTTTTCTATCTCAGAGAATTAAGAATTTCACTATGATAAAAATAAACAGCCTTAATAATAAAATTTAAGTGGGCAGTAAACAGATGTAGATTTTATAGATGGCTTACTGAATATTAGCAATGGTTACTTTCATACTTTATAGAAAATAAAATGAAAACTTAAACCATTACCAATTATTTTTTATGGTCTCATGTTTCTCATCTGCAAAATGTGAGAATCATTTGTCTATAATGAGTTTTTCATTCAATGAAACACAAGATGTAATCACGATGTAAAAAAGATGTTGAGACTCTAGAAAGAGTACAGAGAAGAGCAACAAAGATGATTAAGGGACTGGAGACTAAAACATAAGGAATGGTTGCTGGAATTGGGCATGTCTAGTTTAATGAAGAGAAGGATGAGGGGGGACATGATAGCAGTGTTCCAATATCTCAGGGGCTGCCACAAAGAAGAGGGAGTCAAGCTATTCTCCAAAGCGCCTGAAGGCAGGACAAGAAGCAATGGGTGGAAACTGATCAAGGAGAGAAGCAACTTAGAACTAAGGAGAAACCTCCTGACAGTTAGAACAATTAACCAATGGAACAACCTGCCACCAGAAGCGGTGAATGCTCCAACACTGGAAGTTTTAAGAAGAGGCTGGACAGCCATTTTCCTGAAATGGTATAGGGTTCCTGCCTGAGCAGGGGGTTGGACTAGATGACTTCCAAGGTCCCTTCCAACTTTATTGTTGTTGTTGTTGTTGTTGTTGTTATTATTATTATTATTATTATTATTATTATTATTATTATTATTATTATTATTATTATTATTATTATTATTTCATAAGGTGCAGTCGTCTGAACCAGTTTCTCAGCCATCTTTGTGGTAATGGTGTCCCATTTTTTTTTAATATTGAGAAAAATGAAAATAAAAATCCAATGACTCAAAAGAACAAGAGGGAGGAAGAAAGAGGCCATCACAATTAAATGCATTTTGTTGCTAGCCTTCCATTTCTGTGTCGAAAGTCCAGAAGCAAATGTTAACATAGTCCCTTCCAGATTTCAGGCAAAACACAGAAACGGGGGTTATTAGAAAGATGGGCTGTGGTAACTTATAATGTACACTGCAAATAAGAACTGGTAATGGTCTAAGAGTTACGTGTTTGAATTCCTTATTTATGGAAAATCAGATTTGTAGAATATAAATATAATTTAGGAAATGCGATTGGTTAATGAACTCATTGCCCTCTTATTTGCACGGGTCTGATTCAATGAGTTAAAAGTCCTTTTTGTCCAAACAGAAAAAAATAACGCACAACACAAAAAAAACAATGGAGCAACAAATACTTTAATGACCTTCATATACATGGAAGCTAGATTCCGAGAAAATCCCCAGTGCAGGCGCAGTGCGATCTAATACTACTACTGGAACTCAAATGTTTTGTAAATAAAGTCTTTTTTTGAGCAGAACTCGGCTCCTTGGTGAACTTGATTCTCTGGTCTTCGAGGCAGTAAAAGGGAAGTAGTTTACCACTGTCCCTTTCCACAAGGAATTGTCCGAACTTTTCCGTCGAGTCTCCGGCCCTGCCTAAATAAAACCCAGCTTCCGAGCCCATTCAGCTTCAGCCAGGGATTGTCCCCAGCTGAGACCCAGCGTAGGAAAAAAAAAAACCGCTCTAAAATCAGCTCGTTTAGTGTTTACAAACTTTACAATGTTTACGTTGAGAGGCTTGTATTTTGAGCCTTCCCGTGTGACGTCATCACGTTTGTGAACTCATGGTACGTGCCGACGTTACGCCACGGCATCGGCGTGCTTTGCGTGCTGTTCGCTCACTCGCTCGCCCGCTCGTTCTCCCTCCCCCCCCTCCCCCATGCAGCTTTGAGCAGGCAGGCGGCAGTGGCGGCTCAGGGGCAGCCCGGGGCCTAGTGGAAGGGGCCGGGCTGGCGCGGGAAGAAGGGGTCGCGCCGCCATGGAGGGGATGGACGTGGATCTGGACGCTGAGTTGATGCAGAAGTTCAGCTGTCTGGGAACCACCGACAAGGACGTCCTCATTGGCGAATTTCAGCGGCTCCTTGGCTTTCAGCTCAGCCCGGCTGGCTGCGCCTTCTTCCTGGACATGACGAACTGGTACACCGCTGGGAGGAATGGGACGGGATGGGACCAGCGGCGGGTAGTTGGAGAAGTGGGGAGGGGGGGATTGCCCCGTTGGGCTTTCTCGGGAGGGCTGAGTGGAGAGGTGGGAAACTCACTTTGCCAGGCCCAGCTTGTTCTTCGGAACCGCTCGCCCCGACTAGGGAAGTTATCCCGCTAGTGGAGCGCGGTCGAGGATTTGTCCACGGACATACTACCCCTGTGGGTGAGGAGTAATGTCAGGTGGATCAGCCCTGTCAGATGTAAACAAGCCTGAATGTGACGCTTCTTCACTTGCAGGACAAGTCATACAGGTGCAGTCACCTTATCTCTGTACAAGGCGTCGTGTGAGGCCTTCTTCCTATACGGTCAGGCTTCCTATAGGGTTAAAATCCCGGTTTTTGCTCTACCTGTCTGTCCTTTGTAACTGGTTCCATCACATTGCGGGTTTGTTTTTTTCCCCATGGTCTCTGTTATTTAACCCAAAGACACATTCTTCAGCGTTTTGAATTTTTTTTAAAAAAAATCTGTTCAGGCTTTAAAGGCATTTTGAATGCGATATAATAATATAACAAGCTGTTCTGTGTGCCCCTTCCTCTAATGTGGCCTACTTCTTTTCCTTTAAATGTGAAGTTAGTCGTATTTTGATTTCTTCTGCGTATGGCATTTTTGTGTATGTTTTTACTTTCCCTTTATTGCCCCCAGCAGTATGGTGAGTCATTGAAGAAGTGAAGCTTGCACCCTGATTCAAAGCTTTTTGTTTGTTTGTCAGTGAACTTGTCCTGTTGCTATTTGGGATAAACAAAATTGTCTACAATTTGGGCTGATTATATCTGTGCAAGCCATATTTCTCCAAACTTTTATACAGTTTCAATCACCGTCTGTTTATTACAGAAGTTCTAGTCCACAGATTTGTAAACAGAAATTTTAAGCTATGCATGCTGTCTGTGAATGGAGGTGGTACAAAGTTAAGGCATGTTTTCAGCGTATGAGCTTTCACTTTTTGATCAAATTTCTATTGTCTCTCATATGTTTTTTGACTTTTATACAAATCACATATCTACAAACTACTACAATCAGCGATTGATTGATTTTGTTCCATCAGGTTTTATTGACTCTTAGAAATCACATACTGTAGATAGTTTCCAGAACAATCTGTCCCCAACCTGGTCTTTCAAGTGTTACATCAGTATAGATTGGAAAAAAAATTGTACTGGCATATTGAGCACAATATTTGGTGTCAAGTAATGATCTTGATTAATCTCAAAAAGCTTCCAAACTTGGATGTTAAAACCTTAGTATTGTAATGGGAGTCTGCCAGGAGATCCTAGGGCTCTTTACTAGAATGGGAAATTGGAACGAATATACCACTTGAAACGATAAACAAGTTTCATATTCTTATTGAAAAAACTACTTGCATGTAATGTTGTAACCTCTGGCAGTTGAGTACATGTCAAGCAAGTCTTCCCTTTATTTCATAAAGACTTAGCGCTCAAGCAGCATAATGAAATAAGTAGATAAAAATTGTTTGGACTCAGTTCAAGCTTCCTTAGGAATAGTTCAATTTGAAATTAAGGAGACTTATTTGTAAAGCAACATTATTACAACTGGGCTGTAAAAAGGGTTTTGAATCTGTTTAATAGCAGTTCCTTAGCGAATTTTATTATATAGTTAGTTTGGTGCTGATAATAAATATACTGGTTATGGTATGGTTAAACTGAAATTTGAGTTTATTTCTGTTATTTCTGATATATGGCAGAAATGTTAGCATAACTGGAATGTACCATTTAAAACTACAGATTAGAACTCACATGTCTGCCTGGTCTTCTTTTAAAAGAGGATTTCTACATATGAAAAGGGAGAAATTATACTAGAAATGTTTAATCTTAATATTTAAGCTACATTGTCATGTGACATCTCCTCAACTTGCACTCTTAATAGTACATTCCAGAAAGAAGGACACCATGTCATCTGTGTGATAGCCTTGTGCAAGATTATCTAATACACTTTTGAGCCAAACAGAGTGTTGAATCTAGATTTCACAAGGCCTTGTTGACCCACATAGTTCAAAAATCAGAATCCAATAAACAAATGTCATAATACTGGGGATCTCCGTAGATCTATTGTACCAATATGTGGTAAATAGAGATTTGTTGCAGCATAATGCATGATGTCCTTCAAACTCTGTTTCAGTATTTAAGCATGGATTCTATACTGGTATTCTGGTAATTACTGGACTCTGGTAATATGTGACTACTGATATATTGCAAAAATTCTGGTGACAGAATAATTGTTCTGTGAAGAAAAGTCTTCAATATTTTGACTATATTTTAAATGAATCAGATGCCTTTGTATGCATTAATAATGCAGCTAGGGAGAGTAATGCACCCACAGAGGAGATATCAAAGTTTGTGGACTTTTTATTTATTTAAACAATATAGCATAATATTCTCATGTACATTTCATTCCCAAGTTTGTATTTATTCTTCCATTTCTATCAGTTCCCATCCCCCCCCCAGTGTTTGGGGAGATATTAAAATATTTAATCAGTGAAGAGAAGCATCCAATGTTGATATTTCTCTTACCAAATTTTGAACACATTTAACAGATGTTTGAATATGTCCCAAAAAATTCTGTTCTTAGAGAAGCAATGGTGCATTATGCCATATAAGGCTCAAGTGGACCTTTTAAATCAGGGGTGTCAAACTGCCGGCCCGCGGGCCGGATGTGTCATGTGAAAGCCACGCCTACCCCATTGCCGGCAATGGCAAAACCGGCCCCATACGTTGTGCGACATCACATGACATCGCGAGTTTGACATGCCTGTTTTAAATAAATGATCATAGTATATAAGAGTGAATGAACATGGCTTCCGTGTTGACTTCTGCATTTTACAAGTGGCATACTTTCCTTCTCACTATGTTTATTATCATCTGTTCCTGGAGTTCTTTAGTTGAAGGTATAATTAGTTGATAAAAATAGAGATGTCAAAGCTTAGCTCTAATATTGTAACATATGTTTAAGTCCATGATCAGATATGTTAACAACTGTCCTGTTTAGCAACCTTTCAATTTCAAGTAAAATATATCGAAAAATATACTTTACAATATCCAGGAGTACTCACAGAATTTCTGTACTCTTTCCTCAGTCTTGAATAAGTATATCCTGGAATTGTGATAATATGAGTGAATTAATTGTAGAAGAGATACTTCCATTCAGAATAGAGTTTTAATAGTTTTTCTGCTAATTAGATTCCAGAACTCGTCAGAAATTTCAGAAGAAACTTAAGACGCCATAAAAGACTGGGAAGAGACAGAACATTTTTATTTTGTTCTTAAAATCTTCCTAAATTGTTTAGCTTATCAGCATAAACTTTGTGTTCAGAGGATTATGTCCAGAGATAAGCAGAAAGACAACCACCTTAACTTAGGTAAAACTGATTGATATGCTGTCATAAAATCCATTTTTAATTCAACTAAGAACACTTTCTTATTTTAAATGGTTATACCTTCATTTGTATACATTTTTCCATGATAAAATTTAGATTTGAAATGCATAAGAGTGTAAATATATAAAAAATTCTTTCTATACAGTTGTATAACAGTGTATTAGTATAATAGCCACCTGGAGCATCTGTCCAATCTTGGTGATGGCAAAAATGTAAAAATAATTAAATATAAGTTTTGATGGGACAACTTAAAATGTTCGGCATTAGGAAAGTATACTTAATCTAGCTGTATAAAAGAATGCTCACACATATAATAGAGGGGCTTGAGCCTGCTACTCTTCTTAAATAGAAGCAACTCTGGAACTGCTATTTGGAAGGATGATATTCCTTTCTTGTGAGGAGACTTGCAGAGTGCCTTTATTCTACCCTGCTGTCGGTATAGCACAGTGATGGTGAACCTTTTAGAAACTGAGTGCCCAAACTGGAACCCAAAACCCACTTATGCATCGCCGAGTGCCAGGTGGATGTGGCCCATTGGCTGGGTGTGGCCCATTGGGTGGGCGTGGCTGTCATGGTAACGGCAGACTGGGTGGGACTAAGAAGTTCAATCAATCAATTCCAACTTTGCAAGATCTTTTTTTTTTCGCGTGAGAAATTGAAATTGACTGATTGAACCTTTTTTTTTTTTTGCACATGGCGGCGGAGGCCTAAAGCAAAAAGGTTTTATAAAACCCAGCTGAAGGCCTAGGACTGGGGCGACGGCGCGCGTGCCCACAGAGAGGGCTCTGAGTGCCGCCTCTGGCACCCGTGCCATAGGTTTGCCACCACTGGTATAGCAAGCCCTTGCACTAGGAGGGGAAAACAGCTCAGGCTCCTTAACTTCTAAGACTGGCAGCAGACAGACCAGGTTATTGGACAGCACTGCCTCTGCCTGCAGCTGCTCAGGCAGCAATTTGCCCAGTAACTCTGGAACCGATTGCTATCTATTGGTTTCCTTGTCAACTCTGAGCTGGCAATGATACATGGAGATTTACAATGAGACACAGCATCTAGGTTCCAAGTCATTTTAGGTTTACATTTTGAATTGTATTTGAGTATATAAGCCAGTTTTAAAGAGCTCAGTAGTGGCCTAGGGATTAATAAGATTTTTACCATGCAAGTTTCCAGAACTGGTTAATATTAGCCAGACTTCTTTGTTCAGGTGTAGTTACAGCTAAAATATGATAACTAGTCTTAACAGGTAAAATTATTCTAAGTCACAGATCTGGATCAATGACCCCTTCCAAATGGTGATCTTAATTCTTCATAAACAGGAGAGTATCAGGGGAAAAATGTTGAAATGGTAGCCAGTGACCACAGTGGAACGAAGAGTTAGCTAATAGTTCAGCTCTTTGTAATTCAAACCATCTATTTTGAGAGCCTGTTCAGAATAATATAGTGGTCACTAGTATTGAAAGCCACTGAATGATCAAGAAGAATTAGCAGAGCTGTACTCCTTCTTGTCTTCTCCTTACATAGATTACATGAAAGGCAGTGAACAAGTTTTTAG